TTTTTTTATGACGTGGCAAAAATAAATTGAAAACGTGTTGATGTGGATTTTTTTTTCATGATGTGGATTTTTTTTTTCATGCCAACTCACATGATTACTATCTATATTTAAAAAAATAAAAATAAAAAAATTCCGTCTTCTTCCTTTCTCTTTTTCCTTTTTTTTTTTCTTCCTCTTCTTTCTTCCTCTTCTTCCTCGGGCCATTGAACCCAGTTTGCTGGGTTCGACGGAACCCTGCCTAGGTTCCAGCGAACCCAGCAGATCTGGGTTCCAGCAAACCCAGCAAATGGGTTCCATCGAACCCAGATCTGTTGGGTTCGACGGAACCTAGAACCAAGGTTTTCAAAATCGGACCGGTCATTGAACCGTTTTCAGGTCCAGTTTTCGGTTTGACCGATTCAACCGGTTGAACCGATGAACCGGCCGGTCCAAACAATAAGGAAGGTTTGATGAGAAGAGCAAGCTATAGGCATGGATTTTTTAATTTGGTGTTGATAATTTTGTAATTTTGTTAAAGTTAAAGGTTAAAATGGGTATAAGAAAGGAATGGGAAAGGTGAAATTGGAAAAAATTGAAAGAAGATTGCATGAGAAATTGAACCGGTGGTTTTTCTGGTTTTTACCGGTTCTATCGGTTTTTACTGATTTTACTGGTTTTTATCGGTTTTTATCGGTTTTTACTGGTTTTTGATCGATTTTGACCGATTTTGACCTCAAACGGTTTTCTTATGTGAACCGAATTGTTTTCATCACCGGGTACCGGTCCGATCGGTTCAACCGGCCGATCCGGTCCGATTTTAAAAACCTTGCCTAGAACCCAGCTCCACTTTTTTTTTTTTTTTATTTATGTGATTGTTTGCCAAGAGATTATCCAAATTGCAGTTTATTGTGAGGTATTTTTGGGCAACTGGTTTTTTTCTTTTTTTTTTTGTTATATGATTGTTTACCAAGAGATTATTCAAATTACAGGTTGTTGCGAGGGATTTTTGGGCAATTGCAGGTTGTTGTGAGGGATTTTTGGGCAATTGAGTTCAGTGAATCGAGTTGGGTTCGATGAAACCTATTTGCTGGGTTACATCGACCCCAGATCTGCTGGGTTTTGTCGAACTTCAATTTTGAAAATGGAAAGAACACCATTTATGGAAAGAAGAAAAACAGTAACCGATGGGCAAAGAAGCAATTCTTAGTGGTGATGTGGGACCCATTTGGATGGATTTGGAGTGATTTCACCAGGGTAGCATGTGACATGGCAGAAGTTTTATGCATATCATCACTTTTTTAAGTTTTACTCTCCACATCATCAAAAAAAATATAAAAAATGCCATCTAAGCAGGGTTAACGGTCCAAATTAACAGAAGGACTAACGGAGTGCATTTTGTATAGTTGAGGGATCAAAAAAGTGCAAAAAATTATTAAGGGACCAAAAATGTGCATTTTATAAAGTTGAGGGACCAAATTAAGCATTTAACCTAATAATAATAATAAGAGGAAGAAGAAGTCAGTTTTAACCAAAAACTTGCCCTTCCCCAAATTAACCATGTTCAAGGCACTGTGGCAGCTATAAGCACTGACCATGGCGGTAAACCTCTCTAGAGCTTCGGGATCGATTCGATAAATGTGTTCGACGTTTCAATTAGGGTTCAACAATTTCATCAATTTTACCAGGTTCTGCCCTTTTCTTTACATAGTTTTCCTACTACAAAGATTTCTTAGAAATTTCCCGGATTTTTCAATTTATTTTTTTTTAGAAAAATTCCCATTGTTGAAGTAAGTAGATTGAGATTAAAAGTGAAAATGCTGTGTAGTTTTGCAGTGAAAGCAAAGAGTTTGAGAACTAGGGCATTTTTTCCTTTGACAGTCGGAGTAATGGGGTCTAAGTCTAAGAGGCTCCTTTCAAACTCATCCGTGTCGGCTTCATCAACTGTTGAGGGAAAGACAGATAAGAAGCTCAGGGGATTAGCTACTGCAGACCTCAATTCTGATGAGGGTGAAGTTAAGGTTGTTGATTGCTTTGGTTATTTCCACTAACCTTACTGTGGATTTTATATGCTTTGTAGGTTTTTGGATGGTGTGTGGTTTTAATTGTTTCGGCTTTTGGTGCATTGTAGGGGAATGGCGGGAAAGGTAAAGTGGTTAAGCAGGGCAAGAGTGATAATAAAGAACAAGGTTTGGCGGGTACCAATCAAAATTCCAAAGAGGGTGTTTTTAAGGTTGTTGATGATCTCACTTATAATTGCCATATTAAAAATTTTCTGCTTTCATGCTTTTATAAGAATGTGGTTTAAATGTAGTGCGTATGAAATTCAGGACATCATGAGTGATCCTGGCAGAATCAATGCAATGACAGTTCAACAACTCAAGGCCGCATTCCGGTATGTACAAATTTTGAGGATAAACATAAAAAGAGATGTATGGATTCTGTTTTAGGTGTTTGTGTTCTCATATGTTACTTTTTAGCTTTAGTGTACCATTTCATGAACACTAGTAGGACACTGTGCACATATCCTACATTCTTTAAGGCCATTGATGATAAAGAGAATAAACCACAAAGAAGCTGTGCAGTAAAACATTATGCACGTAACTGCTTTAACCAGTTGGATTAGTTCCTTGTTTGTCGTGCAGTGCTTTGCACTCTAAACTAGTCTCAAGGATTGTTTTTGTCCATATGAATTTGATTTTGATATTATGATTTTAAATTCTCAGGAATGCTGGCCTCCCTGCCAAAGGTTGCAAGGGTGAACTTGTATCTGCCTTGAAGAGTTATTTGGATAAGCAATTAGATGGTATGCAAATTTAATTTTGAGATCAAGTTCAATTATTTCCTTCAGTATTCTATTAAGCTTTGGCTCTTAGCTGCTAAGATGGAGAAAGATAAGAAGATCAACATTAATAATTAAAATGATTGCTACCAGTTTTCTGAGTTCTTTCTTCTCTTTCTTGTTCCTGAGAACCTGTTTGAATTCAATTGTAAGTTGTTCATTTCCCAACAATGGATATCCTTTGAGCATGTAGGTGAAAGTTCTCATTTGGAAGATGAACAACTTTCCTCCATTTCTGCTCAAAGCATCTCAGTGACAGGAAAGACTAAGACATTATCAGGTGAACTTGATGCTAAAATTGTCATGAAAGGAAAGAAGCTTTCAATCAAGGGTAATGTTTCAGGTGCCTTAAGTGTCCTTATTGCAGCAATAGTATGCTTGTTTGCTATCACTAATCATTTAGGAACTTTCTACTTTCCCTTGAAATGTGGTTGAGGTTATCAATTTGAGGGGTTTAATTTTTCTAATAATTAAATTAAGATGGCTTATTTTGGTAAATGTTGGTAGAAAAGAAGCCTTCTCAAGCAATCAGGAAAGCAACTTTGGTTATTGATGGCAAAGACACTAATGATGGAGTTAATGTTCCAATGAGTCAAAGTGAACCATGGACAATTTTTGCCCACAAGAAGCCTCAGAAAGGGTGGATAGCTTATAATCCACGAATCATGAGGCCTCCACCACTTACTGGAGATACTAAATGTATGAAGCTAATGTCTTGGAATGTGAACGGGCTGAGAGCGCTGCTGAAGTTAGAGGGTTTCTCTGCTCTTGAGCTTGCTAAAAGGGAAAACTTTGATGTATTGTGCTTACAGGAAACTAAACTGCAGGCAAGATATAATACTTCAATAGCATGTTAGCTTTTTGTTTCTTAGATTTAACCATGGCATTCATTTTTAATTTGGTTAAAATAAAGTGATATTTTCTATTCAGTTTTAATTATTTGTCTTATTTGAAGGCTGAAGCATAGTCTTAGACTCTTAGCAGTCACATTGAGGTATGATTTATGACAAATCCCATATCAGCGGATAAGTGAAATTATATTTTCCTTTTGACCTTACAAAACTGAGCACCAAAATTTTTCTCGTTTACTAGCCCAGCACATGATTGTATTTGGATGCACAAGCATATGGTACTGAATTGTCTTCAGATACTGTATATGTGCGCACCTGCAAGTGTGTGCATGTGTGTGTGTGGATATGATTTGTAAAAAGATACTAAGCATTTGAGGGTTGCCATTTTTATCTTTATATTGAGTGAATTTGATATGATTTGTAAAAAGATAGTAAGCATTTGAGGGTTGCCATTTTTATCTATATATTGAGTGAATTTTTAAATCTGGGAACAGGAGAAAGATGTTGAGTCAATCAAACACTCTCTTTTAGAGGGATATGAGAATAGCTTCTGGACATGCAGTGTTTCCAAACTTGGCTATTCTGGTACAGCAATTATATCCCGGGTATGCACATTCTTTTTAGGAGAATTTTAGGTATATTTTGATTCTTTGATATGATAGCCTTGCTTGTTCTTATTGTTTTATTAAATATTAGAAGTTGTCAACAGATAAAGCCACTTTCAGTCAGATATGGCCTGGGCATATCAGATCATGATAGTGAAGGTTGTCTGGTGACGGCTGAATTTGATACATTTTATTTGCTAAGTGCCTATGTTCCTAATTCTGGAGATGGCTTGAGAAGGTTGGTACTAGACTTTAACATCTTCTCTCATATCTCTCGCTACCTTTTTCTTGAAGAGTTCTTTTGTTTCTTCCTTTTGACTTGCTTGCTTTTAACTAGCCATACAGGATTACAGAATGGGATCAATCTCTTGGCAATTACATGAAGGTAAGCCTGGCATATATCACTATTCAATTTTCTTTCTTTCCTTTTCCTTATTTTTATTTTTATTTTTAACTTCATCTCCCTTCTCTTTTTCCTCATGTTTTCTCCAGTATAGAATGTACTTTTTAAGATTTTAAAGAACTTCTGGTATGTATTCTACATTGGAGCGGTTATCTCTAAAAAAAACCAGTTGTTTCATGCTTGGCATAATTAACTCTATGACATCAATGTACTAAAGAATATAATTTATTTATACATTGAATGTGGATCCTTAGACTTGAGTTCTGGAATTTGATGGCCATCATCATAATGTGGCATCAAATTAGTTGTTTCACAACGATAGTTTTCAGTTTGATTAACAAGAACAGATTATTTGCTATTTGGAAATTCTGTGCATAATTTTTTTAAAAGTTTAGTCCTTTCTTTGGCCAGTTTTGAAAGTTTTCTCATTGGAATAGGAAAAACTTATCAGTGTTCTCTGGCTTTTTAGTTTTTACACTTTCTTAGGTCATGAATATGTATGTGCTCTGAATCTGATCTCCCTTAAAGGGTTTTTAAACATATGAACGAGGTGACTAGATGTTTTTCTCAAAATAAAACATTTTCATTGTGCCTTTTGATTGCCAAATCCCAATGCTTAACATTTTCCTTATGCATGATGCAGGAGCTGGAAAAGTCAAAGCCTGTTATTTTGATAGGTGATCTCAATTGTGCACATGAAGAGATAGACATTTATGACCCTATTGTGAGTCTTTAAAAATTTGTATCTTTTTTTTTTTTTTTTTTTTTTTT